GTGTGTACGTAGTGTGCAGCAATCAAACATGTGCGTGGTGTGTGCTGTGTTTGTGTGTGTGTGTGTGGTGTGTGTGTGTGTGTGTGTGCTGCTGTGTGTGTGCAGTTGTGTATGCGTGCGTGAGCGTATGGTTATGTGTGTGCGTCGAGTGCTATGTGCTGGGTGGTGCGCCCACATCCAGCGTGCTGACCTAACGTGTGTGCGTAGGTCTGTAATGTAGTGTGTGTGCGTGCTGTATGTGTGTGTCCGTGGTAATATATGATGCTTGATGTTGGGTGGTGTGCCTGTGCTGTGTGCTGTGTGATGTGTGTCCTGGGTAAGTCGCACCTGCGTTGTGCTGGCTGTGGTTCGTGGTGTGTTGTTGTGCTAGTGGTGGTGATGTGTGTGTGTGTGGTGCGTGATGTGCTGGTGTGTGTGTGGCTGTGTGAGTGTTGTGTGTGGTGTGTGTGCGCTCGAATATGCTTGTCTCACGCGCTAGACCGAGATCGTTCACGTGGCGGCTCGATAGCCTCGGCGGTAGTTGTGTTTGATGTGCCTGCTACCTGTCATGATATGCGTATTGAGTACATGTGTGTGTGGCTGCTTGTGTGATCTCGGTTCCAACGTCGTGAGACCAGCTGTGTGGTGCGTGCGTTGCGTAGTTTGTGTCGCTCGGTCGTGTGTGCGTGTGTTTGCGCATGTGCGTGTGACAACGAATACACTTGGATGTGTCTGTGTCCACAAGCTAGATGTGTGTGCTGTCACTCATCGGCATCGGTCAACACATGTTGTGGTAGCGTGTCGTTGTGGTAGGATGTGAAAGCGGCTACGTGGACTAGTCGTAAACATGTCGCTCGATGTGAAAAGGCACCTGCCGACTCGCAAGCTCAGAGTCTGAATTTCTTAGCGGCTAACGACTCGGTGTTGTGTAACTTGGGTGGGTGCTTGTGTGTGCGCTGATGTTTTACGCTCAGAAAGACGAAGCACTCTGTGCTACGAGATGGTATTCCGGAGTTAAGTGTTCCGAGTGCAATGTGTCATGCGTAGCAGTAGCGTTAAATCTGTGTAGTTCGGCGTTGATGCATCCATCGCTCAACCGGTGGTGGCTGGCTTCCACATGCGTGTGTTGTTGAGTGGATTCCGCTATCGTTGTGCGCCGGTCAGGACACTTCGAAACAGCTGGCTCTAAAGATCGTCCAGGCGATGGCGGTGCTGTGTTGTGTTCGGTGTGGTGTGCCGCGCACGCCCAATGTGTGATCCGCCGTCGAATCATTCGGTCGTTCCACCGCGCCTATACCCCGAGTGATACCCATCTTTGTCGTCTATGTGCGGGCTGTGTAGTGGTGTGTGTGTGTGCTACGCTTGTGTGATGGTGTGTGTGTGTTTGTGTGTGTGTGTGTGTGTGTGTTGTGTGTGTGTGTGTGTGTGTGGTGTGTGTAGTCGTGTGAGGTGCGTGCGTGTATGTGTGTGCGTGTGTTGATGTCCAGTATGTGACTGCTGTGTTTGATCTGTGTGTGTGTGTCTGTGTTGTGTGGTGTGTGTGTGTAGTGTGTGTTAGGTGCCCAACGTGGCCACAAAATACCTTTTGGGTAAGAAAAGGCTCACCCAGTCCGGGTGATCCTCGAACTACCTTGCATCTTCCTTTCTCTTTTCCTGATCATCACAAAAGGAAGTCCCGGGGCATCGCAGGAATCAGAGCCGCCGCCAATAAACAAATCTCAGGCCAGTGAGGCAAGAAGTTCCGCGCGCACGCAGCACACGCCCAACTCCTGACTTCTGCTCTGACGTAATTAGCAAGTCAAACTAATTAGCAGTTTTACCGCGACCTGGTTCCTTGCAACTTTCAAACAGGCATTTATAATGCGGGCCGGATACAGACGTCTTCTGTCCCCTATCGCTGCCCGTGACTAACGCATCGAGGCACCTGTGGGAAGAGGAAGGGAAAACAGCTGTATTTTCTCTCTGGAACTTCTAAATAGATGAAGATAACTTCCCGCTGCAATTTTAAAATACCCGGAGGACATATTTTGCGAATGAGGGTTCTACTACATTTTCCTAATGCAACTTATAAATACAAGGGGATATTCCCCTACTGTAACTCACAGATACCTAAAATTACTTTCGAAATGTGGAAACCACATATCAAGAAGGATAGTGTCGCTATAGGATTCCACTACAACTTTCCTATGAATCCCACACTTCAGAAACGAAATGTTGACTCCAAGTTCCGTTCCCATTACAATCTATTTATATATACCATACTCCAGGAATGCATGCAGATATCACTATATTTTCCTACTGAAATAAATACCTTGACGCCACAGGAGTGTAAGCTGGAGAATAACGAACCACAGGGAAGTGGAGGTCACAGCCGCGTTTCATGAATCTTCTTGCGCGGGAAGTTTTGGACAAGAAACATGCTTATAGAAACTTCGACGCCCAGCAGAACTAGATGTTATTGAAACATTGATTTGGTTTTCATTTTACAGGTAAATATTTTAAAACAGTTGAAGGAGAGAGA